AAAACAACAAACAGAGAAGATCCTTTTGGAACCAATGGTCAGCAACACAGAAGGACTCGACAAGCAAAAGACCAGTGAAGGAATGAAGAATGAGATCGACTCCATGAAGAAACAACAAGTGTACGTGGAAGTCGACATCGACACCTTGACCCCAGAACAGCGGAAGAACATTATACAATCACGATGGGTTCTCAGAGACAAAGGCAACAACGTTCGTGCAAGAATCGTGGCCAAGGGCTACACCGAGACAGTGAATGACCTCCTCGACATCTACGCATCAGAGCCAAACATCTTCATGTGACACCAACCAGGGATTGCTACATCCTGAACAACCTCCTTTACAAGATGAACATGCAGCCTACAGGAGACTTGTCGGCAAACTACAGTGGATGACCTACACCGTCCAGACAACAGCTACGCAACAGACAGGCTAGCCAGAGAACCACAAGCACCAACGACGGCAGACCAACAGAAGCGGAAGCATCTCCTGAGGCATCTCAATGGAACACAACACTACAGACAGGTTATCAGACCAACAGCAAAGATACCTCCAACACAGATCCCAGACCTCAACATCTATGTGGACAGCGACTGGGCAAGCTGTCCAGAAACAAGAAGATCAACAACGGGCTTTGTCACTAGTCATTACACTACTTGGAGCAACAATCAACTACGGCAGCCGAACGCAGGCAACGATTACATTCTCAAGTGCCGAAGCAGAGTTGCATGTAATCAACACAGGGGCTACAGAAGCACTACACCTACGCAACCTCCTCATGGAGATCTTCAACGTGCAGAAAGTCAACATCAAGATCTACAAAGGCTCGTCAAGTGGCAAAAGCATGGCAACAAGGATAGGATCATCAAGGAAATCAAAACCCATCGACCTGAAACACTTCTGTATTCAACAACTGATCTCGCATGACATCGTGAGACTCAACAAGAACCACGCTAACGAGAATCCAGCAGACATTTTCACCAAATACATTTCAACAGAAACACTCCGCAGACACCTGCAGGCATCTGGGCTCAACACCCAGCACAATATCCACTATTCAGTGGGAACAACACCAGCAGTTTCACAAGAATGGATCAACAGCTAATGCATTACACGCGCGTGCGTGGACAACGACGTGAGCAAACATTGCACACACAGGCATACACGCGAACGTGTTTGAGCCATGGCTGGTGTTATCAACCATCGTTGATAACATCTCCCTTGTTTAGTTTCATCCGGTATTTCAACAAGCATTTTGTTGAATCCCAACATGGTGATCGAAGCATGATGATGTCAACATTGTTTGTTGACAACAGTGTGTGATCAGTTTTCTTTTGCGCCGTCGCTTGTGCCAGCAGACGCTCAGAGCAGACGGCCAACGCCCGAGATCTCAACATGATCTCGCGTTTCAACATTGCGGGTGTCAACATCCGTGACAACAACGAGGTGATACCAGCTCCTTTTGAAGATCAACAGACGTTTGAGTCGCTGGAAATCACGGCAACACCAGTGACTCCCAACACTGTGGAAAATCCAGAGGGCTCAACACAAGTGGACTACAAGAAGGCGGCTTGTCTTGCCAACATGGTAGTTCTTTGGCTGTATCATCAAACTGAGAAAGGTAGGAACTAAGGTAAACTGCGCCGATGTTCTCGCTAAGCATCTTGGTTCTGCACTGTTGATTTCGCATTTAGAGAAATTGTGTGTTTGCACTTCTTTTGACTGGTTTGAAGTGTAGATACTACCAGCACCGATTTCACCAAGCAAACTGTTTAAAACACTGGCACGTACTGAGAATAGATAACTGCACCTTCTGTAAACTTAAGAGGGAGCACTGCATGTCTCTCACTCACTGTATAGCCGTTTTTGCATGAACTGTTTCAAAAGCCACTGTCATGCACGTTTTTGTCACTGCGTCTGATTTACTGAACGCCTGAAGCTACTTTTTTTTGAGACTGTGATTTGTGATCATGGAAATTGAAGCACTGCGCTTCGACTGCATTTTTGGCTCACTCAGTGTCTCTGACTGCACTGTGCACTGAGCTCTTCTACCAGACTCACTGACTTTATTGTGCACACTGAGGGTCAGCAACAGATGTTTGCGTTCAACACTTTGCTTGACTTCGAGCTGACTGGTACACTTGAGATGCAGTACACTTCACTGTGCAACCAGATGATCACTTGAGGAACCACTGTGAGAAGACTGCACTGACTTCCACTCATCCACGAGTGATGACTGCTGGATCGCAGACTGACGGTCTTTACTGTCTGCGTATGGCACTGCCCAATGACAAGTGCAACATGTGGTCACTGAAATTGATGAGATCCCGTCGCACTGCGACTCACGGGGAAGATGTCACTGGCCCTCAGGCACTGTTCCCTGAAGTGAAGCGGCCTCACTGCAGCTACACTCGCACTGAGTATGAGCTCTACAGCACTGTGACTGCCCATTTAGTCACCATGGGTTGATGTTGAAGGGACTGCCACTGGCCAATGACCATTCGAAGCCTACTGTGATGTTTGCTGTGCGGCAGAGCATTCGCACTGCGATCACTATCTCTGGTCGCATTTCGCCTGAACTGTTCACGAATGCCCAGGTGAACTGTTGGTACACTGCAAGGTCTGCACTGTTGCGACTGTTGCAAATGCATTGGGCCAGTTCAGACTGATGAGCAACTGGCTGAACCACTGCTTTTGGTATGCATCAATCCCTCACTGACCAGGATCACTGGACGGACTGTCCACAATGTTGATGCTGCGGAGACCTCTGCCTTAGAAGCTGGGCACCATCGACTGCTGACTTTCAACCATCACTGGTTGGATCACTGCCTGTCCACTGATTCACTGGATGAGGACTTTGTCTTCACTGAAGCTGAACTGTCATCCGGTGTGGCATTTCAACTGAGCTTCGCACACTGAATCAACTGTCTGAAGTTTGACACGAACTCAATGGAACTGTGCCATTTGGATTGCGCTGCCGTCGGCTGCTTGGCCATTTGGTCCTTCCAGTTTCGGTGCTGAAGAAGTTCGGCACCCCACTGAGGCATTCCCACTGCATCTCCATCTATGGCACTGACGATGACACCATTGAGAACACTCAGGCTGCTGTCTCTACTGGTACTGCCAAGAAGTACAAGATCACTGTTGATGGGATCACTGACAGCATCACTGCATCACTGTGAAAATGGAAGTTTCTGAGAACTGAGAGCTGCACTGAGAGATGCACCGTTTTTTAAAGTGAACTGAAGTGACTGGTATAATGGCATACTGACTGCATCTGTCCTCAAGCCATATACTGCCGAGTAGGCACTGCGTTTTTTTAATTGCACTGTATGACACTGCATCCAAAGGGGAGTGTTGAGATGACACTGTTCACTGCGCACTCTGCTCATGCCAACTGACAGACTGCCAACACTGACTGTTGGCTCAAGCCACGCTGAGCAAAAGTAAGCTGACTGCTGAGCCCACTGGTGTGAACTGACCGCTGTAGGTTGTGCAGGAGAAAGATCCACTAGCTTCGCAGTTGGTTGGTTGGGTGGTTGAGTGGTTGGGTGGTTGGGTGGTTGGTGGTTGGTTGGTTGTTGGTTGTTGTTGGTGGGTTGTTGGTGGTGGGTTGTTGTTGGTGAGTTGTGGTTGGTGGTTGGTTGTGGTTGGTGGTTGGTTTTTGGTTGGTGGTTGGTTTTTCGTTGTTGGTTGGTTGTCGTTGTTGGTTGGTTGTCCTTGCTGGTTGGTTGTCGTTGTTGGTTGGTTGGTTGGTTGGTTGGTTGGTTGTTGGTGGTTGGTTGTCGTTCTTGGTTGGTTGCCGTTTTTGGTTGGTTGGTGTTATTGGTTGGTTGGTGTTGTTGTTGTTGGTTGCTGTTGGTTGTTGTTTGTTGGTTGTTGTTTGTTGGTTGTTGTTTCTTGGTTGTCGGTTGGTTTTTGGTTGGTTGTTGTTTGTTGTTTGCTGTTGGTTGCTGGTTGTTTGTTGATTGGTTGTTGGTTGGTTGATGGTTGGTATTTTGTTGTTTGTTGTTTGCTGTTGGTTGTTTGTTGGTTGGTTGGTTGTTGTTTGTTGTTTGCTGTTGGGCTGTTGGTTGTTGGCTGTGGGGTGTTGGTTGTTGGCTGTTGGCTGTTGGTTGTGGTTGTTGCTGTTGCTGTTGCTGTTGCTGTTGTTGTTGTTGATGATGTTGTTGTTGTGGTCGTCGTCGTCGTCGTCGCCGTCGTCGTCGTCGTCGTTGTTACTAGTTGCCCTTGTCCTTGTTCACGGTTGTGAGTTCTTTCTCAAAGTTTTTTTAAAATTACCGAGTCCGCGATTTAGTTGGAACATTTCGTGTGCAGAGATCTTCTTGGTTCGTTTGGAGGATGCTTGGGCAAAGGTCCTGCATTTTTTTTCACGGATCCTTGCGCAGAGATCCTGTGATCCTTGTTTGTGCAGGGATCCTGTGAAGATACTGGTATCCTGTAAGTTTTTTGAAACATCCCTGTGCAGAGATCTTTCCAATTCCTTGTGCGGGGATCTGCCAAGCGCCTTGAAAGGGTTCCAGAGATTCTTGTACGTAGATCATGCATCCCACGTATATAATTTGTATTAAATTGTATTACCGTATATGATATATGGATTTTGTATGTTTTTGTTGGCTCTTTGCATGTTGGTTTGTTGATTTGAAACCTACTGGTTTTTGTGTTAGTGGATCATCCTCCGAATATTGAGTGTGTAGTTGCGTACTCTGATGTGAATGCGCCAAAAGCTAAGCTGGCTATAGCTGACTTGCAAACGGTTTTTTCATACAGCTCGTAACTCCTGGATATCTGATGAGACCTGACCTGCTTGGAATGGTGCACAACTGGGATTGCTTTGGGTCTCCTCGTCTGCTTCAACCCGCGTGATATATTGACAGAAGTGGTGGATTAGCAGCGCGCTGTATATGAGTTTCGGTTTTGCAAATGTTTTTGTGGCAAAACATCCGCGTGTGTCTTTGTGAACTCACACTCCTTAAGTCGTTCCAATGACTCCAGCCGCTAGGTGAGCATCATGGCTTCGACCACCATCCCATGGCCCGACAATTTCAAAACCTCGGCAATTCCTCTGAGAATCTTCATGTTGCTCGGTTTGTGGTGATCACCGGGCCAAGTCCTTAATTTGAACAACCGGGCCCAGACGCCCCGTCCACTTTTCGAAGTGATGCAATGCAATTACTAATGCAAGGGTGGTTGAAACAACAAACTATGGAGACAAAACCTTCCAAGCTGTGGACGCAGCCAGTTGACCAAGATGAAGATGGCTATAGCTATAGTGTGTATATGTTTAATTATTTATTTAAAATTATATACATAACCGTTGTACATGTGAAAACGAGGCGAACCTGAGCCTTGAATTTCGCCCCAAACCTCCTTGTGATCATGTTTTCACAACAGTTTGGTTTGAGATGTGTGTTCCTTTCCATATTCTGCAATGATGGGGACTAAACGACACCTGCAGGTTTGATCTTGAAAGTGTGTCCTTCTCCTGCTTCAGCACTTTGACCATCGCCGGGCGATACACCCTCAGCATTTCCGGTTTTCCAATGCTGGTACTTTGGCTATGGCTATGCTTTGCGATGTCAAAGTTGCCTCCGTTCCAGCGGCTTCGCTGGGAGCAGTTCAAGACATGGAACGCACTCGGGAGTTTGTTGCAAATGAGCTATGGTCCGATGAGCGCGCTGGCTTTGCAGCCCTTCATGTGCTACTCCCACCCCAATGGTTTGCGAAGCCTTCTGAATCAGCCCAGCCTTTTTTGCGGCGAAGAAGAGCACATGGCGATGTTGATCGGGGGTTCCCTGTTTTTTGTCTGCATGTGTAGAAGCAATGAGTGGTTGCGTTGCCAGTTTTGTGGGTTTTGGTGGGCGCTGAGTTAATATCGCAAGGGCAGCACATAAATGTTGCAGTTGCAGATCACGGCTCTATCTATACCTTGAAGATCAGTTAAATCATTCTTCATGAAATAGTTGTTTTTGAAGTCTTAAATTTACTATCAGTTGTTTTTTAAAGTTATCTAATCCCGTCCCACAGACGCTTTTACACACAGACGCTTTTTCACGCAGATGCTTTTTACACACGCACACACGCTTTCACACACAAACGCTTTTACACCGCTGTTACACACAGACACTTTTACACACAGACGCTTATACACATAGAGGCTTTTACACACAGACACTTTTACACGAACGAAAGCGTCCATCGCAATTTTTCCTCAGTTTTTGACGTCCAACGTCCATTTCGTGTGAAAGGGTTGCGATGGACACCTCAAAGTCGCAATTTTTCCTCAGTTTTTGACGTCCAACGTCCATTTCGTGCGAAAGGGTTGCGGGGGACGCTTTTCAAAATCGCAATTTTACCTAGGTTTTGGACGTCCGACGTCCATTTCGTGCGAAATGGTTGCGTTTTGTGGCGCTCCGGCGGCACCGCCCCCGCCTTAAGAGAGAATAGAAGAAGAGCGAAAGGAGATCTGCAGATGTGAAGGTGTGAAGATGTAGATCAGCAGATGTGAGGGTGTGAAGATGTAGATCTGCAGATGTGAGGGTGTGAAGATGTAGATCTGCAGATGTGAGGGTGTGAAGATGTAGATCTGCAGATGTGAGGGTGTGAAGATGTAGATCTGCAGCTGTGAGGGTGTGAAGATTAGATAGGGTGTGAAGATCTAGATCTGCAGATGTGAGGGTGTGAAGATGTAGATCTGCAGATGTGAGATGCAGTGTGTGATGTAGCAGTCAGCAGTCAGCAGATCTGCAGATGTGAGGGTGTGAAGATCTAGATGTGCAGATGTGAGGATGCAGATGTGATCTAGATCTGCAGGTGTGAAGGTGTGAAGAAGATCAGTGTGAAGGTGTGAAGATCTAGATCTGCAGATGTGAAGGTGTGAAGATCTAGATCTGCAGATGTGAGGTGTGAAGATCTAGATCTGCAGGTGTGAAGGTGTGAAGATCTAGATCTGCAGATGTGAGGGTGTGAAGATCTAGATCTGCAGGTGTGAAGGTGTGAAGATCTAGATCTGCAGGTGTGAAGGTGTGAAGATGTAGATCTGCAGATGTAAAGGTGTGAAGATGTAGATCAGCAGATGTCAAGGTGTGAAGATGTAGATCAGCAGATGTCAAGGTGTGAAGATGTAGATCAGCAGATGTGAAGGTGTGAAGATGTAGTATAACGGCTGCTTTTTTACGAAGAACCCTTCGCAGGCGCTCTCGGGAAAAATGTTCGTGACATGTGTGGATTTTGCCCCACTGTGTGAAGAAATGCTACAGGCCTTGTCAAGATTTTGATCACAGCGAAAATGTGGCATTCGTGCGGCAAACTGAATTTTATCGTTTCTGCACATGTTGCTTTGACAACCAGCTCCATATACGTGCTCTGTCCTTTTGCGGCCAGGTACTTTTCCGCTCTTGCATCGTCATCGGGCTTGTGACCTTAGGGCAGGCGGCGGCTTTCTTCGTAGTTCACCGGTTGGAGTCGTCCACAAACTCTCCTAGATTTGTGCCGTGACAGCTGGAAGTGACATGCTTTGACATTGGTTTGGCGCAATGGTTTGGCGCAATGTGCAAAGAACCATGCTCATTGACATTGCAGTAATGTGACCAGGTGTCTATGCTCTAACGGCATTAACATTGGCGTGCCCGCAACAAAAAATAGTCGGCGGGGATGCCGCATGCCAGTGCCTACATTGACCTCCTTTCATGTCTTGTAACGTTTTACATTTTGTTACTAGAGCAATGACCGTTTCGTTGAGGTGTTGTCACAGGAGTAAGTGCCATGCTTTGTAGTTTGTACATGCTCACTGTGTTTTTGCAGCTGTGAGTTCTTCGGCACATTACAAAGGATATCGTCACCACACCAAGGTTTCAAAACCGTCACTTGCTTTCGTTGACTGAAAAGAAGACGCTTGCATTCGTTTCAAAACCGAATTCATTGGAGTTCACCGCTAGTCGGCATGCGTGCTAAGTTGAGAACCCTACACAGCAATTCATTGCTTAATATATCCAATATGGTGGAACTAATAAGATTTCATTGGTTGCCGCTGTCATGTAGTAACAAGATAGCACGCATGAAGCCTCTGTGTGTTTGCTACTGGCTCAGGTACCCATCCAGTGAGCTTCTTGGACGGAGGACAGGCGCGTGTCGCACGGCCCGACAATGAGTCAACGAGCCTATGTCCTCGGGAGCAAGAGCTTTGACATGCTGTGACCCAATGTGGGAAGAAGCGTATGCAGATGCATCGCGAACCGACACCTATTTGAATGTCTATGACGCCTCAGTGTTTCTGAAATTCGTGTTTGGTTGACATGTTTGGAAAAAATGCACAGTTAGCGTCATAACCATAGTGCTTGCCACTGTGACTGTGTCGTGACTTGACAGGCATGCGCTCTGTACTTGTCTTCCATAGTTGCATTGACAACCAGCTACATTCGTGTTCTACACTTTTGCGGCCAGGTACCTTTCCTCTATGTCATCATCGTCGGATTCGTGGCTGTAGGACAGGCGCGGCTGTCACGTAGCACATCTCGTTGCACCACATGGAGCACAGAAGATCATGGAACATCTCATTCAGCCCATTCCAGGTCCGCAGTGCTGAAGCATCCAGAGCAGATGACATTGCAGCGCTGGCAAAAAAATGTCTGCACTGTCGCGCACTCACGTCACTTTCACACACACCATCTTTCACGCGCAACTTTGTCACACACATACACATACTTGGTGGCTGGGTTTGGAGTAGGAAAGTTATAAGTAAGTTGTAGCACTTTAAGCACTTGCACTACTTATAAGTTAACTTGAAAAACTTAGCAACAGATGACTTTTTAATTTAAAACCTAAATTCTCTAAGTTTAACTTGCAAAACTTATAAGTTCTCTAAGTTTTTGTTGCTTGAGTAAGAATTATGTTTTGAGCTTATTTTTTGAAACAGTGTCGAAAACACAGATTCATGTTTCTTTAATAAAACCTTGAATTGGCTAGTGTGCGGTTCCATGAGCCGCAGCAAAGAGGAATTTGATGATGCTGCAAGGCAACCTTGCAGAACAGTTATTCCTGATCCTAATTTGTATAAAAGCGGCTCAATGGGCCGCTGCGGTTGTGGTAAAACCAGGCCATGATTTGACAACATCAGCAGCAGTGTGACCTGTGGACACTTTTCAGTCTGCTTGGCGTGCCCAAAAAAAAGTGTGGTTTTGTGGGACGTGCATCCCCTTCGATTTGAATCACTGCGGCCCATTGTGCCGCACCTGCCCAAATTTGAATCCAAGATTATAACATGTGTGAACTTTTTAATTTCAACAATCGCGGCCCATGGGGCCGCATTTTTTTGGTCAAACAAACGCCAAACAGACTATGGACTTTCAAAAACCTCTGCCCCAAAACCTGCGAAAAAGATGAGATGTATAGGAATGTATAAGAATGTGTAACTCCATTTTTTTTCGAGTTATACATGTATAACTCCATTTTTTTCGGGTTGTACATGTATAACTCCGTTTTTTCGAGTTATACATGTATAACTCCATTTTTTCGAGTTATACATGTATAACTCCGTTTTTTTTGTCCGATACATTCCGATATACATTTCTATACATTCTACATTTTCCCTGTTTCTCAACCTTCCTTTGGGTAAACGTTTGCATTTTTCACCATTCCATGGATGAGTTTTGAAGTGCATTTTTTTTCAGGCAGCGCTTGTTTGAAATCAAAACTGTAATTTTGGAAAACCAGCCGGCAGCCTACTTGCCGTTCTTGTTCTTCCTGCTGCCCTTCTGGCCCATCTGGAACTTCTTTCCATCATTGCCGTGCTGGTCATCATTTTTGCCCTGATCCTCCATACTCTTCATTGGCTTCAAGATTTTGTAAGACGAAGAGCTAGATGTGGTCATAGCTGCAGCCTCAAGAGGATCATCCAGATGTGGTCCAATGAGCCGCAGTGTTTCAAAGCAATTCTTTGCCAAGAAATAGCTTTTCAACTGATTTTGTCACATGCGTTCCAAACACATCCTGTTAACAAAATAATCAAAAATAACGAAACATAAAAGAAAAACAAAATTACTAATTTTTGAACATGCAAAAAAGTTAAGTTTGCTAAGTTAGTTATAAGTTCGAAAACTATATATTTTCTAGAAAGTTAACAAAAATAGTTACAAAACATACAAGTGACCAACTCCTAGAAGTAGCTTGTATGTGCCCTAAAAAAACTTAAAAACTTAGCTGACTTACGGAATTTACAATAGCTTATAGCCCGGTTGTAACAGTACTTGCAAGTACTGACAAGTACTCTAATCCAAAGCCAGCCACCAAGTACATACATACATACATACATACATACATGCATACATACATACATACGTACATGCATACTATCTTTTCACATATTTTCACACACAGTCTTTCACCACCTCCTTTGTCTTTCCTTCCTTCCCCGTCCCCGCTACAACCTTTGAAGCTCAGTATTGGAAGAAGTTGACTTGTGGGGTTATCCGGTCCTTTAATTCTTGCAGGAACAATATCCCTGCAAAATGTGAAGTATGCCTTTAAAAGGTGCACCATGCCCTTTGAATCAAAGTAGTATGCATTTGCAAATGTCTCACATTCCTTTCAAAGGAGCAGTATCCCTTTTAGACAAGCCAATATTTTGTGCACATATACTATTGACATAGAGCATCCCTCTCAAAAGTGCAATATGTTTTCTTTCTATCCATGTAGGTGGCACTATTGTGGCACCAAGTTTTACACACTTTGGGTAGTATATGCAAAAAATTGAAGCATTGTTTTCTATTCAGGAGGTGGCATTACTGTTGTGCCAATTTCATCAATAACTAAATCAATGGGACTGAATGGAAATCAATGGTGCTCAATGGGACTTAAACGTGCTGGCCCTTGGTTTTTAGATCAAGGCTAGGAATTGACACCCCTGTCAGCAAGCGTCCTAATGAGGCCGTTTTTCTGTCCTAAAACGCTATTTCAGGACACCTGTTGAATCTGCTCTCCAACTATATTTATCCGATTTCTGTTTCACAACGGTTGCATGACTGTCAGCCTTTTACTAGCTGGAGAGCTTTTTGCTCTTTTAAAAAAAGCGAATGGAAATGAATGGGAACTAATTGGCATTAATGGTGCTTCATGGACTTTCTGTGAATTCATGGGACTAAATGGAAATTAATGGGCTGTAATGGGACTTCAGTGGGATTAACGGGACTTCGTGGGACTGAATGGGAATTCATTGGCTCAATTGGACTTAATGGGATTAAATAAAAATCCATGGTACTTAATTGGGATCCATGATGGTTAATGGGAAATAATACGAACTAATGGTGGGAATGAATAATACTTAATGGAAATGGAACGTAATGGAGCTTGATGGTTTAAATGGGAATCAATGGGACTTAATCTGCCGTCCATCAACCCATTGCAGGTGTATCAAACGTACCATGGATTCTGATTTAATGAGCCAATGAATTCGCATTCAGTCCCGTTCAGTCCCACTAATCCCACTGAAGTCCCATTATTGCCCATTAATTTCCATTATGCCCCAATAATTCCTGTTGAGTACCATCATTGAGCTGGGTGTTTATTATTAAGGGGGGCGGTTCAGTGTTAGGGAGCAGGGATTATAAACATGTGTTTTGTGAGGTCTTGTGTCGGCCAACCCGTCAACTGTTGCTGCTAAATACCAAGCTGGAGGGCTCGGTTCCATTCGGAAGTGGCCAAACAGCTTTGACCATTGGGATTATGTCCCACTTACGGATGCTATGTCAATAGGCTCAAGGCTCACTAGGCTTACATCCATTCATGACCACAACTGCAGCACAAAGAACCTGAGGTTGCTGATGCTGTTTGTTTTTGGGTTTCTGGCCGTGTGCACGGTGGCTGCATGGAAAATGCCCAAGTGGATCGCCAGGTGGGGGCCCGAAAATGGGAACGGCTCAGATTTTGTTTGTTTCTTAGAAAATTGATTTGCACGGTTAGTTTTGTGGGCTTTGTATATCGCCTGTCAACGAATGTTTCGTACGACACCCTGTCCCATGGTGGATATTTCCAAGTATAAAAGAAATAATTGTGTAAGCTGTGAACTGGCGGGTGTTGTGCCCATTGATGTCTATTGACATTTGTGTTCAACCCCCGTAATGCAAATACATAGGTGATGATCACCACGTTAGCTCCCTACCGGCCATGCGTTATTAAATGTGATTTAACTTATTGCTTGGGCTGAATCAGCTGAGTACCAAAAAGTAACAAAGATCTTGAGCTTTGAATTCCACACGCAATGCGCAAACAAGAAAGCAGCCGCAAGCGTTTCTGAGCAAGTCGTGCCAGGACATGCCTGCCTGCGCGCGGCAAATGACCATGTAACACGCGTCATCTGTGAAAACCATGCTGGATGAGATTAATATTAATATGGATCGCAACGTCAAAGCACCCCAAATTACGAGAACCAAAATTGGAATGTTGCGCTTTGCCCACACCATCAGGGGCAACAATGGGTTTGCTCAATGCTTCAACTTCTTGACCTTCCGCTTCCGATTGGATGTTTGGTGGATTGATGGCATGATTTGGAGGCATTAAATAGCTTGCCGGTAATGCGGGCCGTCCAGAACTCCGACATTCTCCCCGGCCAACAAGGATATAGGGTCAGGCATTGTGTAACTCATGTGATCGAGTCGAGGGAGGGTTAGGGTTTCCTATTTGCTGGTCCCTAGCTGTGTCTTGAGGTGCTCACGCTTCTGCAGACCCCTTCCAAATTCAGACTTCAGAGCCAAATCAAAATCCAACCTATATATATATATATATATCTCTCTCTCTCTCTGTCTCTCTGCAGATCATTTGCCGGGCAGGGGTTGGTGGAAGATTCAATGAACAGGAGGTAATAGTTGTCCGTTTCCCTCTTGAAATGATGAAGTGGAGTGGGGTGGTTCGAGCGCCACCGCCTAAGGTTTGGAGTGCTTTCGCTAGTCCGAATGCCTGTTCTTACTATGGCGTTGGTGCTAGCCACTGACAATTCACTTGCCCAGGCTGCTGCGAGTGGAGACTTGGAAGCAGACCGCCCGACCCGGACAATAACCTCCAGTCAAGACAAAAAGCCGTCCAACTAGCATCTTACAGTTGACTGAGGTTCCGGATTTGGACATGCTCTGCCTGCATCTCTGAAGTCTATGCTAGACTTAATATAGGAAAGCATCATGATATCTTCGCAGTAGTGCTTCGAAGTATTTCCCGAAAGCTGCTGCGAAGGGTTCCCAAAGAACTGCTGCCAAATTCAACTTTTCAATTCATCTACACAACGTCTCTTTCCTTTGCATCACCTACATCATCTACATAAACTTTATCTATATCACATACATCAACTACATCATCTACAGGTGCTCGGCATATCCCCTACAAAACTCCTACACTGTCATTTACAATTACTTACACCGGAGTTCTTACACAGCAGTAATTTTACAGGCCTTGTTTCACAAGAGTAGTTATACCGGAGCTGTTACACAGGAGTTTTACAGGAGTTATTACACAGGAGTTAACTTCTAGTTGATCTACTTGTATCTTACCTTAACCCCTGCAAAACTCCTACTTCTCAAGTTCTTCTAAATTCTCTCACTGAAGGCGACAGGGCAGCCAAAAACCGGTTTGCGAAACGTGACCCTCTGCGGAGATGGTGCGTGTCGGACGCAGAAACGTGCGGTGACATGCGAATTTGTCTTGGTGAGGAGCAACCTTTTGCGGCGATCGGGCGTGGCGGACGCATGGTGAAACGCGAATTTGTCTTGGGGACGAGCGACCTTCTGCGGAGATCGGCGTGTCACGCGCACAAATTAACGTGTGGTGAAATGCAACTTTTTGGTGGCCCGGCGTCGCCCTTTTGCACGACATGATGGCCAAATGTCAACAACTAACAACCTATTGAAACTTCAGATGCAACCCTTTCACACGAAACGAAAAGGTCGAACGGCGAAAGATGTGGTAAAGCAAGAAAAACTGTAATAAAAATGCAATTTTATTAGGTCGAACGTCGAAACCTGTGGTAAAATCGCGATTTTGAAGCTTCAGATGCAACCTTTTCGCACGAACTTAAAGTCCGACATCAAAAATTGCTGTAAAATTGCGCTTTGCAACCCTACAAAGGTCCTCTGTGGCAAGGGTTCTCTGTGTAAAAGCTTCTGTGTGTGAAAGCTTCTGTGTGTGAAGGTGTCCTTGTGTAAAAGCTCCTCTGTGCAAACGTGTTTGCGTGTGACAGTTTCTGTGTGTAAAGCTCCTTTGTGTAAAAGCTTCTGTGTGTAAATGTGTCTGTGTGTAGACGCGTCTGTATGTAGAAGCTTCTGCGTGTAAATGCATCTGTGTGTCAAAGCTCCTCCGTGTAAAAACTTCTGAGTGTAAAGGCGCCTGCGTGTACTAGCTCCTTTGCGTAAAGACTTCTCTGTGTAAAGGCTTTTGTGTGTTTGTGTAAACGCGTCTATGTGTAAAAACTTTTCTGTGCAATTAAAAAGCTTCTCTGTGTAAAAGCTCCTCTGTGTAAAGACTTCTCTGTGTAAAAGCTTCTATGTAAACGCGTTTGTGTAAAAGTTTCTGTGTGTGTGTGTGTCAAAGCTCCCCTGTGTACAAGCTGCTGTGTGTAAAAGCGTGTGTGTGTGTAACATCTAAATAGATGTAAAACTTCTCTCTTTTTTTCTTCCTTTGTCCTCTCCCTTTCTAACTCTAATTACAATGCAGGGGGCATGGCAGCTGTTTCCCTAGCCATGCCAACGAAGCTATGGGATTCAGCCGGAAGGGAATGTGGACGCACATTCCTGTACCTGCATTTATTTCCGTATGGCGAGGGGCCAAGCCAAGAACCCCAACCACAATAATTGTCAATTTGCTGCACTGTTGTCGCAATCTGGAATTACGTTTTATCATTCATGCTTGGTTCAACTGCATCTTTCATATCTAATTTGCATGTTTCAGGATTCAGTTCCTGCCGGATCATATAATGATCCATTCTTGTCTAGTGTGATTTCCATGGTGGCTCCGACATGGTGCCATGGAGCCATTTGAGGCAACCCTCTTCAGGGTGAGTGTCGACAGTCTTGAATTCTGAATTCACACATTTTAACTCAGTAATTCGTTTAAGTAATGTGCAACAGCTGGCCTTTCCGTTTTGCACCTTTTGTGATGTCCCGCGTTTCCGGCTGTCCTTTATGAACCCAGTGAATGCATCTCTATTGAGTGAAGCCACTTCGAACTACCAGAAACCTCCGTTTTTTTGCAGCAACGTTTGCAGCGAAAGTGCATCAAGTCATGACATATGAATCAGGCAGGCCCACGTCTTGCAGGTGTGGTATTCTTCTTTTTGATGGTTGTCTGGTGAGGTTAAACATTTTGTGCATCTAATTCGATGGAACTTGAAAGCCGTTTTATGCCCTTGTGGCTGACTGGAACACGGGCCTGTTGTGGCACAATTGCACGAACAGTAGGTCTAGGAACTGGGTCCTGTTTTTTAATTAATTGTTTTGGTTTTGTCTGGCATCAACTAGTTCCCCATTGGTCCCTAATCTTTCCCCGCGTGCCTCTCCGTAACGTGTTGTTGGGTTTAGGTGTGTGCGCTGTTTTTGTCAGGTCCGTTTCGCCGTGTAGGTTGGTTCTGGAGGTCCGTCTGTTCCCCTCCCCCCCTGCGCTGTTTTGGCCGTCTGCCCGTCGTGTGTCCGCTTTTTTCTTCCTCTTGCCTTTCAGGGTTGACCCGGCTCCGGCCGGGTGTGTGTGTGTGTAACATCTAAATAGATGTAAAACTTCTCTCTTTTTTTCTTCCTTTGTCCTCTCCCTTTCTAACTCTAATTACAATGCAGGGGGCATGGCAGCTGTTTCCCTAGCCATGCCAACGAAGCTATGGGATTCAGCCGGAAGGGAATGTGGACGCACATTCCTGTACCTGCATTTATTTCCGTATGGCGAGGGGCCAAGCCAAGAACCCCAACCACAATAATTGTCAATTTGCTGCACTGTTGTCGCAATCTGGAATTACGTTTTATCATTCATGCTTGGTTCAACTGCATCTTTCATATCTAATTTGCATGTTTCAGGATTCAGTTCCTGTCGGATCATATAATGATCCATTCTTGTCTAGTGTGTGTGTACACGCGTCTGTGTGTAAAGACCTTTGTGTACAAAGGCGTTTGTTTGTCAAAGCTCGTCTGTGTAAAGACTTCGTTGCGTAAAAGCTTCTATGTGTTGAAGCTTCTCTGTGAAAAAGCTCCTCTGCATAAAGACTTCTGTGTGTTCTTTCTGTGTGTCAAAGCTCCTCTGTTGAAAAATGTATGTGCGTAAAAGCTTCTGTGTGGAAACACGTCTGTGTGTAAAAGCTTCTGTGTGTAAATGCATCTGTGTGTCAAAGCTCCTTTGTGTAAAAGATTTCTCTGTGTAAAAGCGTTCTGTGTCTAGAAGGTCCTCTGTGTAAAGACTTCTATGTGTCAAAGCTTCTGTGTAATGCCCGCGCGTCATCGCAGTCATCTGAATAGACGCCATGGGGGCACACAGGTATACGAACGATATAATCAATAAATCTAGAACCTTCTTAATCACTGACTATATACAGTCGTTAATACACCAGTATGCTTCCACAACCTTTTTCATCATTCACCATCCTTCATCACCATTCATCATCATTATTCACTCATCATTCATCTTCACATCTTCCCTTCCATCCTCTTTTGATCTCTACTCTCTCCTGCTTTTCTTTCGGGCCTCACTGTCATCTAGTTCTCTCTTAAGCCGACAGGGCAACCAAACAAAGGTTTGCGAAATGTGGCCTTCTGCAGAGATCGTGCGTGTCGGACGCACAAGCGTATGGTGAATTTCGTTTGTCCCGCACCAACCATCTGTCGAGATTGTGCGTGCCGGACGCAAAATGCGGATTTTCATGCCTTTTCCGTATCCGGCACAGCCCTCCTTAAGGATCGTGCGCGTCGGACGCACGAACGTGTGGCAAAATGTGACATTGGTGGCTCGGTGCACGAATGGGTGGAGCGAGAAAATAATTAAAGATTTTGAAACTTCAGAGCAACCCTTTCGCACGAAGTGGGGAAACTACTGCCAACTTGCGATTTTCAATTGTGAGATGCAAGCCTTTCGCACAAAATGATGGTAAAACTGGTAAAACGTCAAAAACTGAAGTAACATTGAGGTTGCGCAACGTCACAAAGCTGTTCTGTGGCAAGGCTTCAATGTGTAAAAGCTGAAACGTCTCTGTGTAAAAGTTTCTGATTGTAAAAGCTTCTCTGTGTAAAGGCTTCTCTGTTTAGAAGCCCCCTTGTGTAAAGACTCCTCTGTGTAAAAGCGTCTGTGCTCAAAATGTATCTGTGTAAAGACTTCTACGTGTAAGAGCTTCGCTGTAAAGGCTGCTTTGTGTAAAAGCCTCTGGGTGTCGAAGCTTCTCAGTGTAAAAGCCCCGTTGTGTAAGGACTTCCTTGTGTAAAAGCGTCTGTGCACAAAAGGTCCCTGCGTAAAGACTTCTATGTGCAGGGGCTTCTGTGTGTAAAAGCTTGTGCGTAAAGGCCCCTCTGTGTAAAAACTTCTCTGTGTAAAAGCGTTTGTGCGTAAAAGTTCCCCCCTGTATAGACATCTCCGTGTCGAAGCTTCTGTGTCTACAAGCTCCTTTGGTGTCAAGGCTCCTCTGTGTAAAACCGTCTTTGCGTGAAAACTCCTCTGTGTAAAGACCTCTATGTGTAGAAGCTTCTTCTGTGTGCAAGAGCTTCTGTGTGTAAAAGCTGCTGTGTGTAATGTTTAATAGCTCCTCTGTGTAAAGACTTAATTCAAGTTCTCTGTGCACAAGCGTATCTGCGAAAAAAGTCTTCGTAAACACTTCTCTGCGTAATAGCGCCTGTGTGTAGAAGCTTCTCTGTTGAAAAGCATCCGTGCGTAAGAGCTCCTTTGCGTAATGACTTTTGTGTGTATATAAAAGCTTCTCTGCGTCAAGGCTTCTCTGTGTAAAAGCTTCTGTGTTTGAAAGCCCGTCTGTGTAAAGACTTCTCTGTGTAAAGGCATATCTGTGTAAAGGCTTCTCTGTCCAAAAGCTTCTGTGTAAACACGTTGTG